ATCTCCCTTAGTCCTAGTGATCAACAACTTATCATCACAGCTTAATCAGCTTACAACTCAACAACACAACTCAGCTCAACAACTTAAACAACACACAACTTTACAACTCATCATCTCAATCAACTTTCAACTTAAACAACATGGTATATCAGCATAACAACTCATCAAAACTGTTTAACAACACAACATCTCATTTCAACTTTAAACAACACAATTATCATCTCATCAGCTCAACTATTAGCTCTTGTCAACTTTAGTCAACTCAACATCTCAATAGTTAAATTCACAATTTATAACTCAACCATCACAAATTAGTATCTTTTCAACAGATAGTACAACATACAACTCTCATCTAACAACTTAGCAACATGGTCTACTAATAAATTTTGTATAAATCTCAACACGTCTACACATTTCACATCATGCTTCTCACAACTCACAACATTATCATTTCATCATATTTCACAACATATAAATAATCCACACGTAAATATAGCAACTTTAGCAACATACCATGTATTCAACGCATTTTCTATTTGGCACAACTACTTATTTAGTTTACAACACTATACTCAACATGCATATCTTCATTTCACTTTCTACTCATCATACATCTCAATACAACTCCATATGAGTTTTTAAACTCACATATAACCAAACAACATATAATCTAGCTTCCCTTACTTGAAAATTGGTTCAAAATAGTCAATAAATGAGAAGACGAGGTTATCACTCTCATGACCAGACGTAAAAGGTAGTCAAGATCATACGAAGTATCATATATCCAAACGCAGTTGGAAAATAATGAAGCACGTCTGAAGTCCACTAATCACATTGAGTGAAATCATACAAGAAACACAAAAAGACATCAAACCAGAGTATCAAGTTGAGAGTCCTAATGGTTAGGCTAGCTACCTTGGAATCGAGATAATAAAATAAACTAACTTGATAACCTTGACACCTGCTTAGCATCGCCAAAATTGGTTAAGCATATACCTCTAGGAGAAGCCTTGTGCTCAATTGTTAAGAAAAATGATAAAAAAAAAATGGTACTATTATGAGGGGGATATGAGATTCCAATCAGTTCCCAAAACAAATAAAATCCTTGGTGATGATCATCAAGTGAAGTATGGATCCATACAAGTCTGGAATCTCTTACGATAACTTAGGTTAAATCCTAGAAAACCTTGTATATAAAATATTAATTGATTCATTTTAATTGATTGCTCAGGTATATTCTACAAAACTATTTGTGGAAGTGACTTAGGAATTAGATCACCTTACTCTTTTCTTTTATTTTCCTTCCATGTATGTGGGACGACTTCATGATTAGTAGTTGACATTGATAGGGGACATTGCTGTGATGGGAAGACTTTCCATATAGTTTAATAACCACGATTATTGGACCCATGATGACTTTTTGAGGATGACACCTTTAGAGGGTTGGTGTCCTTTTGATTCTTGTTTATAAACCCTCAAGTTAGGATGCAACCTGACATCTTGACATTGACACTATCACTTGTTCCTGGATATGTTAGAGTTGACTCGCCACCTTCATCCCTAGGTTTATCATCTTCGGGTATTTCTAATGATGAGTAAGTAGTTTTAGTGGTTCAACTTTATGAGAAAAATGGATTCCATGCTCATTCACCTCCACATGTACCAAACTTAAGGCATCACTTGTCCAATGGATACTTTGATGATGGAGAATATGATACTAAAGGTGATGATTTAGATACTGAAGATGACACCTTTAAAGGGTTGGTGTCCTTTTGATTCTTGTCTATAGACCCTCAAGTTAGGGTGCAACATGCCATCTTGACCATTCCACTGTTAAACACTACCACCAACTATTAGATATGTTAGAGTTGATTCACCACCTTTATCCTTAAGTTTATCATCTCCTAGTACTTCTGATGATGAGCAAGTAGTTCAAGTGGTTCAACTTTATAAGCAAAATGGGTTCCATGCTCCTTCACCTCCACATGTATCATACTTGGGGCATCACCTACCCAATGGATACTTTGATGATGGAAAGTATGATGCTAAATATGATGATTCAAATATGAAAGACGAGGAAGAGGAATCAAATCTTGAGGAGACCCCTCAAAGTGACATGTATGACTAGTTAGTTGACTTTAGAGTAGTGGAGAAAAGGTGGATAATTGTAAATATTTGACTACTATGGCATATATACCCTTATATTTTGTTTGTTTATAATGGGGTAGTGAAATATTTTTTTTTTGTATGTGTATATCTTTCTAATGTCAGTAAACAAGAAGGTACTTTTTGAAAAACTCTCTATGTTGATGGGTTGTAATCCATAATCTAAGAATATGTTTGTGACACTATATGATGATATATGACTTGACTAATCATGTGTTTATGTTAATCCTTATATGATGTTCTTCTATAATGACATTATTTTAATTTCATACTAGTGCACTACAAATTAAATTCCTGATAACAATTTTTTCTTTGTAATAATATTCATAATAATATTACACTCAGATTCTTAAATTAATTATTTTAATTAAGCTATAATTAATTAAATAAATTTAACATATTATACTAATATTATATATTTGGTCAATTTTATTAGGCCTCACATGATCTTATTGTGATTGTTGACAACATTCTAGTGACGCTAGTGACGAGGAAAAAGATAAAGATGATGATCAATGAAAAATAAAATCATGCAAGCCACCTCTTTCTCCCCAATGATCCTGATAAAGGACCATCGATATGATTGCCTAGATAGGATAAACCTGAACCTTTTTGGATATATAAAAGAGGTTTAGAAATATTAAGAGAGGAAGGACCTTTTCCTCTTAAAGAGCCTCTAAAGTATAATAGGTGTAATCAGATTATACATTCATCAATTAATCAATCAATTCTTTGCATGATGTTTATTTGAACATCATATGATCAAGAATTCCCTTCTCTTGATAGAAAGACTGGTCTAGTTACTAAAATAATCATTAAGCCAAATGTCTATTCATAAGAAATTGGGCTTGATGGAAGGCCTAAACCATCACTACAAGAAAAATACAAAATAGCAATTGAAATTAGCGATTGAAATTTATCGATCGCTATTTTGCAACCGATTAAAAATAGCGACTGATTTAGCGATCGAAATTTATCAGTTGCTATATTGCGACTGAATTAGCGACCGATTCAAGTGGTAGCGAGAAAATCAATCGCTAAATCGATCGTTGTTTAATTGTGTTTTATGAAAACATAGTTTGCGACTGAATTAATGACCAATTTTGAATAAATTAAAAAAATTACGACCGAATTTAATTCGGTCGCTAATCCTAAACTTTTGAATTTTTTTAGCGACTGATTAATTTTCGGTAGCTAAAAAATACAAAGCAACCTTTTCATAACAACGGTTTTTTTCGGTCGCAAAATATAATTTAAACTTAGCGACCAAATTAAAATCGGTCACTAAACTTTTTAAAAAATATATATATAAATTAGTTTTTTTTATATTTTTTATAAGCATTTTTTAATATAAAAGATACATTAAATATTATGTATCGATAAATAATAAGATATAAAAATAATATATATAATTATGCATCATTAAATCATTTCATCGATGTTTTTTATAAAAATGTCAATTAATGTGGCATTCCCTGTTATTGGCTTTTTATTAAAATTTCAATTGATGTGGCACTCCCGCTCTATTATGAAATTCATAATGATGAATTTTTTTTATTAAAATGTCAGAGCCAGGTTTCGATCGTTGAACGTGTGGGTTATGGGCCAACCACGTTACCGCCACGCCACTTTGATTCTTTTGTCTAATACTGAAAGTAATATATATATGTAATACAGAAGCTTATGATTTCTCACTTTCTAAACTTTCAGAAATCAGAAATAAGGGTTTCAGAAATCAGAAACTAAGAGAAAGTAAGTGTTTGCAAAAAGTGAATGTTGATTTGTTTATGAAGAGATAAGCTCACTAAATAGATCAATATTTTAAGTGTAATATAAGTTTTTTTTTTAAATAACTTGTAGCCTATACTTTTAAATTAAATAAATTATAGTAAAAACTTTAGTTTGACCTATTTTAAGAGATTTTTAGAAAATGAGTAAAATTGATGTCTTTGTATATTGCAAATTTCACCTTTTATGTAAGTTAACATATTTAATATTTTAAAAATAAATAAATATATAATTTTTTATTCTTTAAAATTATAATTATATCATCAGCATTTAAACTTAAAATTTTATGTACATTATCTCGTTTATTTAATACATCATAATACAAAATTAATACAATAATAATAAATGAATATTTATTTAATTTTATTTGAATAGGACCATCTATTAGACCTAAAAAAAAAAACTTTTTAAATGTTCTAGAACTTGATTTGTTAACTAAATAGTCTTTAATATAAATATTGATCTAACTTTTTTTTTTTTTAAGTAGAGCTTGGCCGGGACCTAATGTATACTAGACATAGACCTATTAAATGGTTTAAAATTTTCTTCCCTAGTTATGACCTATCCACGGTTACTTTCACATGTATGAAGATCATATATATGTTAACAAAATCCTATCATTCTGATAATTACGTAGATTATTCATTTTTCTAATTATTTTGGATAAATTATTTCACTCATTCAAATTATTTTGTTGAGCCGAAAAGAATCGAAGAGGGTCAAATGATTGTTGGGGATTGACAAAAGAAAAAAAAAAAAACAGAGGAAAGCAATTGCATGAATAGTACCTCAATGGAAAGGTGACGTGAATAATGAATATGTACACCAAAAAAAAAAATTCTCTTCTGCTATATTCGAGTTTTTCTAGATACGGCTAAGATTGCACCTTGATTATCAGTTATCACTAATTTAGATAGATACAATTAATCTACTTTACACATTGGTTATCACTACTGTTTTCGTGAATTCGAGCAGATTTCAATTCTCTACTTAAACAAATGTGGGTACAACATGCAAACATACACACACACAGAGCAAGACGTAACTAGGACGAACAAATCCATTAGAATTCTAAATGTACGCCGACATAGAACTACAAACAATATCCCTTGATTTGACTTTCTGTATTTAAAATTCTCATTCACAAGTTCTAACAGCCACAATCAGTATTGGACTAGCTAGAGGATCAATGCCTAACAGATTGTTTAGTTTTTATTGAAAGGAAGAAAAAAAATGAACCCAAGTACATCTAGAAACATTCCACCCAGAGATACCACCTAGGGTGTGTTTTGAACAGTGAGATGATATTATGAACAAACCTTACATCAACTTGGCATCACTGCGTAGTTGCAGAAGCAGAATGTAGGAATCTCATGAGGTAGCTTGAGAAAGACCAAATGCAAATCACAAGAAGGATATTAATGACAACTGCAAATCTACTCAAAACAGGTATCTCAACTCCACTAAAATCAAATACCATATATGTTACCAGATGTGCTGCTTTATATAGTTGGTGCAATCTGTATACCTGCACATTAAATAATTTTAGTTTGTTGCCAACAATCATCAATTGTGAAGCAAGAATAAGAATATTTGAAAATTTTCAGCTGATTAAGAGCCAGTGCAAGAGAGGGTATTAGGATTACACTTACACTGAAGATAAAAGGAATGGCAGCCCTTGAAGGTGACTTCCGATATCTTGCCTGCTGCTCAAATTTGATTTGGACAACTATACCAGCCAGGTATGGAGTAAAAACTCCAGGAACTCCGGGGCCAGTCCATGGCCAGGCCAACCCCATTGAGATCAATGGAATTGCGAGACTAAGCACCAGGGTAGCAACAGAAGAGATACGGTGTCCCAATTGCGGGGTCAGAGTGTCACTGTTGTTTGCAGAAGGATCCAATTGTATTGGTCTCATTAAATGGTCTAGTAGAAGAAGAAAAAACGCAACTCCGCAATAGGAAATTACTTCTATGAGGAATAAGACGAGGAAAACTGGAGATGAAGAATGAAGGAAAGTTCAGAGTTCTACATTAAGTAAAAGAAGGAACACCAAGATAATAAAACAACAATATTTAAAGCAAGAAATGGGGCATTCTTCACATTCCAGTGTTCGAGGATATTCAGCTCAAAGCTGCCAGCATTGTAGCAAGGATTGTTGAACAATTCATATACAAGCTCAATTGAAGTTTACTTATGTTTGTTCAAATCTTACGTATACAAGTTTGAACGGTTTAAAAAACTATTAATAATCTAGCAAATTCAAACAAGTTATATATATTAGTTCACTTATGTTGCAACTTGTTTATGTAATTGTTTGTTATTCATTCATTACATGCTTAAAACCTGTTCACAATCACTTAAAACCTGCCCACATGTAATTCACAAGAATTATACTACGGAATTTCTTTTTCCAGAAACTCCATATATTCTTTCAGTATACTTCATTTCTGTCCAATTATCTGATGATTCTTGCCAACTACTGTGTTGTAATTATATCATGAAACAAATGAATGGTTCCTTGTCACTCTAACAAGCCTCATTACCCAAGCTATGAACATCCAGAATGTTTAATAAAAGAAAAGTTACTCACATGTTGATGACGAGTTTCCACAAATTCTACGGAATAATCCAGGAAAACAGAATGAAGGCCAAATGAAAGAAGCAACAAGGACACCAGGGCCTATAAAACATAATAGGCTGTTCAGAATCCTTCCTGAATTTGATAAAATGACTTCATTATTCCGGCTAAATGGACGGTTACAAAATGGGACTACTCCGGGCTTTCCATCATTTCCTGATAAATGAAAAGATGGGTTGCTAATAGAAAAGATATCCTCAGCATTAGAATCATGGTTTTTTGGCACTAAAGCAGCTGTTTGGAGCCCATTGATTTGTGAGCGATCCTCAAAGACGTCAACAAACGCATACTGCTGTTTCTGGAGCCTTCCTCTTAACTTTGGCACTCCATGCACATACTGGTATGTTTTGTCTAACCGTGACATAAATGCACAAACAGAAGAATGTTAACAGAGGTCACGTCCAGAAAGTGCATACCAATTTTCCATAGCTAAATAATATATTTATTTAAGAAATCCAAAAGGAACCAATCATATCAAAATGACAACTTAAGATTTGTTTGAGTAAACTTCTCTAAAAGCACTACTAAGAGAAAAAGAAGAAGTTTATCTTCTCTAAAATCTTATTTTTAACTTAGACATAAGCTAGTTTTGTCTAATGAAAAAGCTTATTTCAATTTTCACTATTTTTATCTTTTAGAAGTACTTATTTATCCAAACAGACTGTTATTTAAACAATGACTGATGAATAGGTAGTTAACTCAAAATATTATCAAAAAACGGAGAAAAATTCACAAAAAGCCAACAAACAAGCAAACTACCTTTACCTTTATCACGAATTGTCAGGTGAGCAACACTTTGCCGGTTGACAAACTGCGATAACCTCAACTGGAAATTGAAGGAAAAGAAATGATAAAAGTGGAAGAGCGAATGAAGTAACACTCTAAGACACAGCAGTGTAGTTAAACAATTTTCAATGACATCATAATGAAACAGACTCTTTTATTTTTATTTTATTTTTCGGATACATAGGTATCCTTATTGAGTGAAAATTTTGTTCGAGACTAACTCCTTCCACTGTACCAACCCCGATGGTTCAATAAAATCGAATTTATTTCCAAAGAAAAAAGAAAATCATTTCTCTCTCTCTCTCTCTCTTTTAATCAAATACAATTCGTTCCCATAGAAAAAAACTAGTTATCGGAAGGGATTACGTTTCACAAATTTTACTCTCGAATTCTTGAGAAAATGAAAGTTAAAGATTGCACAAAAATTGTAAATCCAGAAAGAATGTGGTTGTGATAAAAGTGGAAAGAAGTGACTATTGAATCTGAAAATGTTTCCTAAAGAAAGAGAGGAAAAGTGGGGAGTTGCAGTGAAAGAAAAGAATATTAGTAAGAAAGCGAAAGCTTGTAGTGCAAGAAAAGCGAAAGATAATGATAATCTAATTCTTTATTTAATTTAGAAAGAGCAAGATACGGTACCTTGGCATTTGTATTGCGATGGAAAGGAGAAGAAGAAAAGGAGAAACAGATTTTGGTGGCCATTACCGATTGTAAGCAAGAAAGTGGGAGGAAGAGAGGTTACTCGTGTTGTCTACTTTTCCAATTCAATTCTATATTTATAGCCTACACGCTGACGGTGCTTCTAGTTTTTCGAATATTAGAAAAAATTAAAAACCCTCATGTTTGGCGCTTCAAAAATTATATTATATATAAAAACATTTTTCTTGTTTATCACTTTTTAATTTCATCACCTTATTTAATATATTTATTATCTCATCTCGTATATTTTTTCTTTTCTTTTTTTTTTTAGTTGATAATTTGTTATACGAGTTATTATATAAATAGTAACATTCCTCTAAAAACTTAAAAGGAAAATTTAACTCATTTCACTTTATTTAATGAAATCACTTAAATAATACTTTTTATTTCTAAAAACTCTTTATCCTTGTGATATCAATTACACGACCTTCAAAACAGTGAAAAATTGTTCTCATTTAAAACAAGTTTTTATAGAAATTAATGTTTTCTATCAATTAGTACGAAGAGTAGTTTAGAAAACTATTTTTCAACCAAGATTGAGAAAATTAAATGAAATTTACTAATGTTATTAGTTTTAATAAAAAAAAATTATATTCAAATATACAATGATACATGTTTAACTTTTATCGTAAAAAATGTCTTTTTTCAACTAAATTATTATTATTATTATTATTATTTTGAAAATGAGACTCAATTTGGTTCCTTTTTTTGTTGATTTTTTTTAAATATTTAATTCAATCTCACTATTTTTAAGTGATTCAATTTGATCTCCTAATCTCAAAAAAATGATCAATATATTTTTTAAAATTTTTTATTAATGTCATTATTATTCATTTAAGAAAAGGATAACATTACATATTTTTAACTAAATTTAACTTCAAGAATTTTGATTATATCACTGATTTAATATTTATTGATCATTAAATTTTAATGTCAATTCATGACATTTAAAAATAAAAAATAATAAACATATAAAACATCTTTCATATTTATTTTAACAGATTTATAATAAACTAAATATTAATTAAACAAACTTTAACAAAAAGTCTAATAGTTACTAATTAATAAAATATCTTTCTTTAAGACTAAGGATTAACAAACTTATAAACCTTACCACTACTTTAGAATGCCTTTTTATCGAACAGAAACTCATTCTAATCATATTTGACTGTAACAATAATCAATAATTTATATATAATTAATTACTAAAATAATTTATTTTTAACAATTATCCAAACATATTCTTAGTTCCAGTTCCATATAACAATAAAATATAACATGTATTTCTGATAATTTATTATCATATAAAAATATATTCCAAAAAAAAAAATGTCAGATAGTACATAAAATTACACAACTCTACTCGGGAAACGTTGTCATGGAACAAATTGGAAAACAGCATGGGAAAAAAATGTTCAGAAAAATCTCGACAATCAATTTGAAAGAGATTTTACAATCCGTAATCTAAAGCCTACTTGGTAAGAAAAGAAAAATATACGCGAGAAATAAGTCAAATTAAAAAATATCAATAAAAGTAAATGAAAAATAGTATTTAATTTAAAAAGAATATAAAAAGATAAATAAAAAGTAAAAATAACTATTGAACTTCAGATTTTTATTTCTTTCATCTCATTTTCTCTCTCTCCCCCAAACACTTTCTCACATTTCTTTCTCCTACACCGTATTTTCCCTTCAAACAAAAGGCAAGAGACAATGTTAAAGGTGCCACCCTAGCATCCGTCCCAAAAGACAACAATCCCTCAATCCCTCGCCAGAAAGGAAAACAAACAAAAACAAAGCAATATGAACAGAATTTGGTAGCTTACGTCTTTGCTGAATCAGTGACTAGTCATTATCTCAATTCAAATAATTATTTTTACTCAGACTGCGCAAACGCTTGAGCACATTTAATATATTTCCCAGCAAAAATACGAGGAAGAAAAGGGCACCGTAGAACACACACGTTCTCCCTTTGGTATCCTTGTTATCCCTAGCAATAGACACGTTGAAACATGTCAAGTATTCCATACTTTCATTAAAAAAAACAAAATGCCATCAAATTACTATTTTTTCAATCAGATTACACTAGAAAAATAACAATCAACCACGGTACTCTATTCACGAAACCCTTTTCTGCCCCCAGTCCCCCACAAAAACGGGGACACCATCTTCGTCGCTCCTAGCCCTGCTGAATACATACTGAACATCAGAAGTTAATTGATGTGACTAGATTTACAGTACAAAAGTCAAATGTATTTGGAACCTAGACTGCATATACCTGAAAACACGGCTGAATACAGCAATACAGTTGATGGATGTACGGCTTCTGATGGAAGACACAAAGACCGCCTTAGGAAAGTCTCTCCACTACTAATTAGCTCGGCATCTAATCATAGGATTCAAAACCACCCTGGCGTCCATAAGAGTTTCCGCCGCCTCGGCGGGGATGAGTTTGACCTCTCTCCCGAAATCTTCCCCCACCATGGTTACCATTTTTAGGTCGTTCAAAGTTGTCCAATTTGCCGTCATCATATGGGCCAACAGGGTGATACTCATAACCCTGCCTTTCCCGGTTTGTAGGTTGATTATAATGTCTGTTATCCTGGGTTGGTGGCTTCAAATCTCCATGTGATTCATGTCCTCTTCGAAACCGATTTTGGTTTATATTTTTGCCCGACCCAGATGATGGGCGTTGATCGTGCAAAAGACCCTCACTTGTTGGGGCCTGCTCAACTGAGGTAACAGAAACCTGAACTGGGGAGTGGTGATGCCTTTTTGATGGAGCATTTTTTCTCTCTCTTTTACTCTCTTGATTCCCAAAATGGAGAGCTTCTCCAGCCTTGCTCTTTTCAGAGACTGATTGATCATGGGAAGGTTGGGAGAGACGAGTGTTGGAACTCTTGCCACGGCTTACTTGAAGAGATTCTCCATCATGAGTGGAATCCTTTTTACTAGCTCCAGCAACAACTGGGCTAACATTTTGATCAATTGGAACATTTCCTCTGTGATTGTTAGATGCTTGAGATTTAGGTTGCCATTGAGACATCAACCGCTCCCCAACACCTCGATTTTCTTTAGAAGCCACACCAACATCCAGTTGACCATGCTCGGAGGATGAGATACGTGTTTCAACTTTCTCTGCCTCCCCAGAATTTTTTTTATTATCAACATCACGGTTCCCACCTGCACCCTTGTGTCCTCTGAAAGGGGCACGCCTCCCTCTACCTGTTGAGGCATGGTCTTTAATAACAGGAACTGAAGCCAAAGCAGCTGAATCATTTATAGAATTGTTTGAACCATCAACATCACCAGAGTCATTAAAATGCTTTGTTTGCCCTTTCACAAAGCTTATTTCAGACTTCTGATCATGATGATGCTCTGTTGGTCTCTGAACATTCAGTTCAGAGTTTGAATCATGATCCATTACATCATGCACCTCATGCATATTGGTTGATTCTGTTAGATTCCGTTGCCGCCATGATCCAGGCGCTTTTCCCTGCTTTGTATGCCTGGCATCTCTATTTTTAGACTCCATTCCAGAACCCACTTTTCCAAAAACTAAATTAGTATGCTGAGTGACCTGGGGGCCCTGTGACCCAGAATCAACTTTCCCAATACTATCATCAGTAGGAGCTTGACTGCTCGATGAAGCAACTTGGATGTTTCCTTGCTGAGCCATTTCTTTTGCAACAGGTTTTGGAATATATCTCTCCATCTCTGCCCTCTTATTTTTTAAATTATGCACCTGCTGCTCATTCTTTACAGGATTAACAGACTCAACTTTATTTTTCTCACTCGATTCATCCATGATCTCACTCTTGTTCTGAGGTTTAACAGGTGCCCACATCACAGCATCAGTCCCGTGGGATTTCTCTGCCGGTCTATTTGCCTGCATATTTCTTGGCATCCTTCGAGAATGCTGCGATTTCCACTGGCTATTCATTCTACCATGAGATTCCTCATTTCCTAAATATCTATGTTGCTCTGAAAACTGATTTGAATCTTTAGACAAGGGTGCTGACTGAAGTGAGCCCTGATCTAACTCAAAGTCAGAAGCCCTGGACTTATCATTTTCAACTGGACTTTTGGAAAGATTGGTTTCTTTCGGAAATGTTGATGGTTGTGCAGCCAAAGATGAACTTTCTTCAACTTTCTGTTTGTTTTTGTTATTCCTCATATTCTTCTTTTTCATGTTTACTGAAGACTCGACCACAGCAGCTGAATTCATGGGTAAGTCTGAGCCACAGGCTGAACTAACTTCATTTGCAACAATGCCAGGAGACAGAGAATCAATCACTGTCTCATTCTCAACTTTCAGGGTAATTGAGGTGGTAGAAACAACCTTTTCACCTGATGTTTTCTCTGAAGGAAGATTTTGCTTTTGTTTATAGCTCATTCGCTTCTGCTTTGAGGTGCTATTGTTATGAACATGCAAGGCATTAGTAGCATCAGCATTATTAATATCTTGGTGCAGGGCCACTGATTGATTATGAATCACAACAGGATCTTTACCAGAACTCTTGAGCGTCTCAACAGCTGTCTCACCAGACAAGATCGGTGATTTTTCCACTTTACTAATGCTGGGGTCATTTACTTGACAGATAGTATTGGCATTAGAATTTACAGCTGAACTGACAGCTCCAAATTTGACTGCTGCAGCTGTAGACTCAGAAGGTTGTAATTCATCTAGCTTATTATGGATGGCAGAATTTGTGATGTCCTCTTTCTGAGTTGACCCATCCCCTGCTTGAGAACGTCTGTTTAACTCATCCAACTTTGCAAGAGCTTTAGCCTTTTGTTTTCTTGTCCGTTCCTCTTCTTCTTCCTGCAGTTGCTTAGTCCGTTGCTTGGCTATCTCTTTCAGTTTGACACGCTGATGAGTTTCAAACTGTATTATTTACGTATTAAATGCAGCGTTAAGCAAGTAGTAAGCATAAAAAATGCATACACATTACCTGTGCATGACTGTCAGCAGGATCAGACCTGGTTTGAACAGATTCTCCAATATGCCTTGCTTGATTATAGTTCCCAGACCTATCGTAGGTTTGAACGGATATTTGATGGTCACCCACAAGAACATTAGATGTTTCCAACTGTGCACCTGATGAAGCTGAAGAATCTTCAATAACAGATTTCTTTCGCCAACCATCAGCATCTTGATTGTTTGATCTTCCCTTGTTACGATGGTCGCCTCTGCCTCCATGAGCAGTTTGCCTGTTAATAAGCACTTCAATACCTTTTTTCACCAAAATAAATTATAAATGAACCAGAATTACAGAAGTTGACACCTAGAAGTTATGGCCAAACCTGGATGTGGCTGTTCCACTCTTTTCTGCACCAGCAGCACCCATTTCACAGTAGGCTGGATTTATGATTTCTGTGGCCTGGGTTCTTGCTGGAAACACTACATCAGCACCAACTGCATTTTCCACATGGTTTAACGGAGCATTACCAGCATGGAATTTATTCCGATGCTCCTCTTTAATTCTAGCAGATGAATTATCCCTGGCTTTTGCATTTAAACCCTCTATCTTTTGAATAAGACTGGCATCTTTTGGAGCAGATGGTCTCGGGGAGATTTCTAGCACATCAGATGCAACACCATCAAATTTCCTTGCCGAAATATCATCGGACTTTTTCTTGTTTGCTGAGCTTTCAGAAAATTTGGCCTTAATGACAGAAGAGCTAGATACTAGATTTTCTGAAGTCTGAGAAGAAATTTCTTCACCATGAGTACTTCTCAAATCCATCTCCTCATTCTTTCTGTAATTTGATCTCTGCTCGTTCTCCCAAACAGTCATTCTTGGTTGGCCCCTGCCATCAACATATTTTGTATTGGTTGTCTCTGAATCCTCCCAATTTGTTGGTTCATTTTTCCCATCTGATACATGCTGCTTAAGAAGAACTCTGTATGGTCCAGCAGTATCAGGAGGATGGTTAGATTCCACTTGCTCTGAGGCCAATTGCTTCCCAGCATTACCATATCCACCAGATCTACCTTGTGAATTACCAGGTTCAGGGGGGGTTTGATTTGGGTACCTATTATAGACAGGCGGTCCAGCAGCCATTCCCATGAAAGGAACATCCCTTTCATTTGAATTGCAGTAACCCATTGGAGAACTGTAATATCCTTCATAGGCCATTGAACCAGGATAAAAGCCAGGTCTGATAGGAATGCCTGGGCGAATAAAGGCATCAGGCATATGAGGCCTGTAGACATCTCCATTCTTATGGTGCCCTCTTGGTCCAGCTCCAGGAGGGGGAACTGGGGGTGGGTTAGCAAGACCAGTAGGAGGCATATGTGGACGGTAATATGGAAATGGTTCAATTGGAAAGCCACCTGGAGTAACAGGATTTCCAAATGGAGGACCACTAGGAGGACCCCTGAACCAAACGCAGCCCTGGGGGTTATTTACTGGAGGACCATGCCAAGCATCATAGTGTTGTGGAGGAATACCAGCATTAGGAAAAGGTTGGGAATTTCCCTGCCATTTCTCTATGCCTGGCCTCACACCTTCCTCATTATAAGCCTGATAATCTCTCCTCCACGAATTTCCAGTTCCACCCTTAATATTTGCATTTACAGGAACATCATCTGAAATATAAGCAAGCCAAAAGATCATCACAGAAGGGAAAACTACCAGCAGGAAGGGCAGAAATAAAAACTGAACCAAAACAGTATAGAAGCAAGAGCATGCACACATACCAATAACAGGGGTCTCATCTATCCCTTTCCTGAGTCCACCAGAAGATGAATCAGGGTCAGCTTGAGAACTGTGGTCTGCCAATAGTTGACAAAGAAAAATTATTCCAAAGAAAATCATCGAAAATCAGTGGTATACCTTAAGATACTAATGGAATTTCTATATTTCAAGTTTTAAGGTAACAATACCATATTGCAGCATAAGTATTCAACAATTACGAATAAAATCAATACAACCATGTTTATCCCATTTTAAAGCCATAATGCCATAATGAGTCATATGACTGTACGGGATGAATTTCACACAAAACACTAGTTTCAACACATGTAAACTAAAAATTAGAAGAATGTATTCATAAAATATAAGTGAATCCTCTTCCAACCAATCCTGATATTATACTTATAGCACTGCATAGAGAATGTATAAAGGAATTTCAATTATAAAACCCACAGACAAGATGTTCCACCTATAAACCACGTATATGTTAGTGTTAACTCTTTAATCTTCTTGGCAAAGCAAGATATAGTGGCGATATCATTACAACATAAGCAAGAAATCCTAGAACTTCAGTTAAAACCTTTTTATTGACAGTAACCACAACTACATGATAAATGTGTTGTAAATTTAAAAGCAACTTTGACCATAAAATACACTACTATTGTCCATAAAGAACAGATACTCAATTTAAAAAAGCAATCACAATAATAGTTATAGAGTATAATGATACCTTGCAGATCAGAATTCAGGACAGACTTATCTTTATCAGAACCAAGGGTTGGAAAATCTCCAGAGCTTAGAGAAAATTCTTCGTTCTTGGGTTGTGTAACTCCCTGCATTTGTACCAAACTATTATCATTGGACAGGGCTAGCAATGCATACAAAATAAAGGCAGCCACAGAAAGGTGTACATAAGAATACAAGGACAAAACATCTATTTGATAGCATCCCAAAAGATAACGAATATACACAAGATGTATGGAATATATATACCACAGATCTTAATCAATAAATCATAGTCATACAAGAAGATAATAGCCCTCACCACAAAATTACCAACTCATGACTATAAATAGTGCATTGGAACAGAAATTATAATACATAACAAGGTGAGCACCATCCCCAAACCAACAAAAGTGGGTAAGAAATGGAAGAAAAAAAATACAACTGTGAAATTCTAGTGATGATTATTTTAGAGGCAAACATCTTAAACACTAGACTAAATCAGGCCATGATCCTAGAAACACTGAATAACAAAAAATAGGATTAAAAAAAATTCTTCAAAGGTAACTTATAGTAGTACTCAAGTTTCAAGCACAAGCCTACCAGTTTTTCTGTAGTCCTAGCAGCATTCCAAGCACCTGAATTTTCAGTCAAGGGTTCAGCAAACCGAGACAGCTGTGAGCTACCAGGTCTTGTTTCTGCACTACGAGGACGCATTGATGACAGTGAAGACTGATTTGAAGACAGTATCCCAGATGCTGATGAAGGCCGCGAATTTGACCCCCATGAATTAGCAGTAGGCTCCAGAACCCTGTCACTACCAGCTGTAGAAGGCCGTGTGCCGCTTCCACCAGATGATGGCCGGGCACTGAGGTGACTGGGTGAACTAGTGCCACCATCAGTATTTGGGGACAGAGAAGAAGACCCCCATGCATTAGATGTAGAAGTCGATGATCTACTACCCCAGCTGAGTGTGCCCCTAATTTAAAAAAAAACACAAGCATCAATAATCTGAGAGTACAAAAACAAAGGCAGCAGAAAAAGTCATCATTCAGGTCTATAGAATATACACTCACTTGGGAACAATCTCCACATTTGGATCCAGACCATGATTTTCTAACCTTCACAAAAATAAGAGGAAAATTTTTCAGATGGTAAACCAGTCACAGTTAGTTAATTTTAACAAGGAAAGTGTTCATCCAGAATTCAAATACCTCTGACTGGGTAAGTTGATAGGTTTTGGAACTGCAACTTTCCCTAAAACAGTCATACCACCTCTTCTGGAAGAAGAGGCCCATCTGCAAAAGCATTAGCATATCATCAATTTCAATTTTCTTTTTATCACTTAAGTTAATATATTTATAATTCATGCACACATTTGGGTGAACTATGATAATTGATAAGATACTGAGTTATAGCCCAAATCAGATAACAAGGCAAGACGGGACTTAGAGCAATATTGGATTTGGGCACAATGCCTAAAGGAAGATATTATCCGAATTCTTTATACTTCTTCACTACAAAAGGCAGTGAGAGGAATCAACAAAGGGAATTTGTTATGCTGAGTTGGCAAACCAGTTAGAAGGGTAGAAGAATATAGGGAGGAAGAGGATTGGACATGAGAAGTATGTTGTTCTTTTTTTCTCTGTTTTTTTTTAATTGAATAACACTCATACATTGGTTTCTCGTAGTGTTCTATCAGCTTAGCATTGGAACCATACTGACATATCTTTATAAATATATATAAATATATATATATATATATATGATTTGCCTTCCAAAGCACAAATTTGGTTTTTGGGTACAATGATACAACAGGACCTCTTGCACCCAGCACACTACCAAAACCCTCAAAAAACATACCTTCGCTCTCCACTCAACATGCTCGAAGTCATAGCCTAGTTGCCACCACAAGCTCATTCAATCAAATTGGAAGGCCTGGTAAGAGAGAAACATAATTCAATCAATAAGACATATTGCAATGAGTTCATACAGGTACAGAACTTAAGATGATTATATTGCCAACATTAAACCTGTGAACATGTAATAGAATAGAAATACTCTTTCTTAAATTTCAAGGGAACGGTAGGAGTTATATAAACTGGTCACTTTAAAAAGTGTTGGGTGGCAGCAACAAATTCTCGATGTTCTATCCCATTGTTGACAGATTATAGTTCTAACTTTTAGGCTGCCATTCATCCATAGCATTCTAAATAAATGCATTTCAGGCAGTCACCATGGTAGGCCTACAATATATAAAATAACAACAAAAACCATTGACATCTTCATTATTTTCTACTTTTACTACCAAGGTTGTCAATCTCGAGAGTTTACATAATCTTGTTGTGGCCCAGTAAAATCGAATCACAACTCGTATGAGTAGACTTGATATAAAAAATGTTACAATACTTATAAATAACATAATAACTCAACATATCAACTCTATATTAAAGTAAAATAGCAAATTACAATACTAAAGTAGTAATGTTTAGTAGCAAATCATGTAGAATTTCACACAAGACAGAGTTCTTAAAATGACAACAAATACAAAACTAAGAAAAGACTAATTCTTTCTTTTAGCAACACAGGAGGCGAGATTGCTGAAAAACGAGTTTGCTTCCAAATTGTATAGGTAGACTTGACCAATCTCATAAACTTGGTAGTTATTACTAGTTGTCACTTGAGATTGACAACCATTTTTATTACCAAACCTCACTAGTCCCCAATGAAGTTGAGTCTATATATATAAGAAATGCTAAACATGACAGGTAGTTCATGTGCTCATAGTTTTCACTAAGCTCTTATTGACTTGCATGAAATAGGATTTGACTCCTCTAAATAAAGGGGAACAGTTCAGAGGGTAAAGTGCACTGCACAGTTATATCTGTGGGTCATTGAAATAGTGATAAAATACTTGCGTTTTTACAACAGATTATGGAATTGTTAAAATCACAACTATTGATGATCCTATCAACTATTATAATTCTTCATTTTACACAATTGACCAATCCCTTGGAATAACATCTATGTTTACAATTTTACCCATCCACCTCACGCAGTAATGTTCTATTACGGGTTTCTATTTCTGATCATATTTTCTGCCAATGCATTTATTATCATGCAGTTATATCCAAAGTTCAAAGGACTACAAAAAGAGCCTGAACTTCAGGCATTAAATCAACTGATAGGAAACAGCCTTTCCTTCTGATCATGATCACCCAGTATTTGTTTACAGCACCAGCTCAAAAACACAGCAAATATAGGTATAACCCTTGCAGTCACATCACAAGTACAACCCACAACCATGCGCTATATATACCAAGTCTACCACATAGCATTTTCAAAACCATTAACATTCAATTCCACCACAGAACCAATCATTTTTCAATCCCACAGTAGTGATCTTATCAGCAAACCAAGGATCCAAAAGCAACACAAACTATTCAACAACGAGCGCTCCTCGACAATGCTATCACAGGCAAGTTAGGCTCAACAATCACACACACACAACATCATCAAAAATTGAGAAAACAGGTCCCCAAACGAAGTTCAGAAGCACAATTGTAACAGAAAGGCCTTTAGATCATCATATTCCACAAAAATAAAATTAAAAAAAAAATCGAAAATAAACGATTGTGCAAAAACAGTCTTGGCGATAAAACATTTTCTACACCGGTCCATTTCAATCTCCAAAAAACATAAAACATCAAAACGAGAGGCATATCGAATCCCACAGCAGTTAAGTTTACAGTTGCCAAAATGCCAGTTATAATCTCCCCCCTCGTAATACATGTTTCTCTTTGTTCGTTTGAGCGGAACGAATCCCCGATGAATTAGAGCAGGAAGTGGAAAGGAGAGTGTACCAGATGGAACTGGAAAATCCGATGGCTGGGAGAAACCCTAGAGAGGCAATTGCAGAGAGGTGCGAAAAGAGAGATGGAAAAAAGGAGGAATATGCGATCAGAAGTTTTGGGGAATTTGGTGTAAGGTGTGGAGTGAGGCCGAGAAAGAGAGATCTACGGGAGATAGAGGCGATGGGTGGTTTCGGATCGGAGAGCGAGAAGGGCACGCGAGAGAGAAAATAAGAGAGAGAACGAAACAAAGTGCTGAAAGACGTAACAGTTGAGTTACCTTACCACCCGTGACAATTTTCTTTATTCATATATATATATAGGCTTAAGGCCCACTCTACAAATTACATTTAATCACTTTTACACGTTACTAGTCTATCAAAGTTACACAACATTTATAAATAAATAATATATATTTTTATATTATTCATATCAAATATTTATTAACTTTATTATAACTAATTTAATTAACATCTTTTAATGAATTTTCATTTCTCAATTACATTCTTTTATCCACAAGACTCATATTTACTTGAGAAAATTAAGCATATTTTTAATCGGATCAACAATTTTTTAATAGAAGACATTACTTAGCTTGTAATACAAGCTAAATTTGTATAAAAAAATATTGATTTCATAAAGTAAATTTATAAAATTTAAGAAAAAAGTGAATAAATTTAAGTATATTTAAATACTAGACCCAAAAAATTATATCAACAAATCATTAACTTAAGTTATATTGAATTAAAAATGTAGTTAAAATGTGATCGGTTAGATTTTCAATAAAATTAGTTTCATTAATAAATATTTTGTATAGTAGTAATATAGATAAAAAATAATAATTATACCAAAAATTAGTTTAAAATTTATAGAGATAGTTGAAATTCACGAGAGAAACCTATTGCCCTACGTACTAAAGAATATCACATGGGGAGTAAAAATAATCCAACGATAAATTAGTAGTTCGTTTGTCTGTATATGCACGTTGTTGTTTAATGTTTGAGTTATTGACAATATTTGCTGCTCAAATAATAGAGTTAGTTGAGAAATTCCAAAGCGGAAAGAGTAAAACATTACGTGTACAGAAATATATAAATTAATTTGGATTAGAAATGTGATTTAAGTTACGGAACATTTCATTCAAACTTTTATTTTTGTATTTTACTTTATTATGTTAATATATGATATTTAAAATGAGTGGTCAAAAGATGTATTTGAGTGCCCTTACAAATGAAGTCATGTTAAAAGTGGATAAGAAGAATTTTATAATTCATGGTGGTCCAATATGCTTTGAATCGAATTAATCAAATGTCTATTGTGTTATTTAAATATTAAGATTCTAAATTAAAATGGATATTATTAAAAAAAAATAGTTTCCAGTTTAACATGAACCGTACTTTAAGAAAGTAGCTTCTCAGTTATCAAGTGGGAATATAGTAATAAACCCTAAAAAAACATAAGGGTATCGATCATTATATTAATTGTTATTTGTTTTCAATAAATACTATATATATATATATATATAACATATCAAGTGAGAGGAAATTTATTATGAGAGGTGAGAGAGGGTTAAAATATAATCCTTAGATTAATCAAGTGAGAAAAAATTTGAGGTTTAATCAAGTGAGAGAAAATTAATCTAAGAGTTATATTTAACTCTCTTATCTCTCATAATAAATTTCCTCTCATTATGCTCCCTATATATATATATAACTACAATAAGTAAAACTTAATTGTAATAAAGTGAACAACTTTATCATAAATAAGTAATAATTTCTTTATTCAGTATTGTTTGCAAGCAATAATTATTCTTCATAAAACTAATGTCATTGTAATAATTACATCACTTTTTTAAAATAATTAATAATTATTTATACATTATTTGTATATTTAATTTGAAATTTTCATCATGTGCATAAATAATCAAGTGAATATTATAAAATATTTAGGCACGTATTCAATTTAAAAGTTAACTATTTGTTTTTTTATATTTATCGTAATTATAAGTAACAAATTATATTTTTATTTAATTTTAATTATAAGCAACAATTAACAATTTCCAAAGTTACTCAAGAATATTTTTTTATACTCTTAATTTATTTTAACTTTATTTCTTATACACTCACTTATTTCATACATAACAGATGCCTAAAAAATGATGTCTTTAAAATAAAATTTAAATTTATGGTTGAATTAATTAAAAATAATTAATTTATTTTTTTTACTTAATATCGATAAGCTGTGTTGTGTGACTTATAATTAGGACGAAAGGTAATTAGTAACTTTTAGGAGAGTGTTATCAAATATAAATGAGATAGAATTTCCTCAAATATAATCCTTATTTTATATATATATATTTTTAAAAAAATTCTTATGTTTTGCCTTTTGTCATATTTTATTAATACTTTTACTTTTGTAAGTTGGAAAGTGTTAACATGTTATTTATTTCGAAACAGTGATTTACAAATTTGTAAAAATTTTCTACAAATACTTTATCAAAACTATTTGAATAAATTGTATTTTATATTGTAGCATGATTGTCATTGAGTTTGACGGATTTGGATCCCCTACAGATGGGAAAATAACTGCAAAGGATGCAGTTCCATTCTTCACCATAGATTCCCTTTAATTATACTTTTTTTTATCAATATTTCCTTAATTTAAAATATCAACTAATGGCTAAGATTCATGCAGTTCAAAAATGAACTGCAGGAGATCTTGATCCGAGTTTGACAAAATAATTATTCTTGTTATCTTTCGCTATTAGTATTTATAGCGGTTACTATGCTCTCCTGAGTTGTGTGATTCACTCATCTCTTATTTATTTATTTGGTAATAAGTTTCCATTATTTCAAAGGCCTTTTTTTAAATAAAAAAAAAAAACCTTATTTTTAAGACTTTGTACGTTCTCCAATTATAAAGAGTGTTTTGACTTTTGAACACATCTTAATCGTAATAAATATTTGTATTTTGATGATACTGCATTACTGCTAGAGTGTATTTCTATTTGATAGTGATTATTAGTTTGGAACATTGAATTTACATAAGAAGACTATGCAAAATCTTGATAAACTTAAAAGTATAATTTATTTTGAAATAGAATATTGTGCATTAACCTCAAGTCACAATAAAAGGAAAGGTCATCTTACACTCCATGTGTCATCATGGAAGCACGGGGACACCGGTGAATTTGTATGAGTGGATGACATTTCTTCATGTTTAGTAAGAGCTAGATAAGACATTTGAATGCGATGGAAGAAGCTTATGGTTGAGTGGCTTTCAACTACAAAATGAGTAGGGTAGTTTTGATTAGGAACAATGCAAAGAGCTAATGTTGCTGCTGCTTCGAACTTGAGCAATTCCAGTGTCATAAATTGCCAAGCTAGTTCATACTTGTTAATTCAAAATTACAACATCAATTTCAGCACAGCAAATGGTAGATGAAGTCATCACTAATCAATCACTGAACTAGGTAAGAAATCAGTAGTTTGGTTTGATGGCTATATGAAGTTGCTTTCAGCTTCTCATCCGTTCTCCAAAACTGTCCCTGTAAATTCACCAAAGTAAAAACTCGAACCAGCAACAAGGAAACTTCCATCTTATCTATGAAAATTGATGCCAAAAAATTTCATTTCCAAACGTTGATAATGTGAAACTATATTACCTCTGATGATTAAGATTAGGATATAGATAAGCTTGACTTGTTCTTTATGGTAGAGCTGACTATCAGACAACCCTAGCTCTCGGACAGCCACAAGAACACAGAGGGAAGATTGTTATGTTATGGGCTGTGTTTCTGTGATGGTTGATAGGAACCTTGTTGCACTAGATACCTTGCGTACACATATTATATATATATATATAAAGAAAAAAAAAAACACTGAACAATGGCTTGTCGCAGTAAAAATAGACTAATATGAACCTAGCCCAACCAGCCCAACCTCAGTCACAAAGATTAGTCTTACAATTATGCCTGTGAAACAAAAAAAGCCGCAAATGGACCATGAAAAGTTGTGACTCGATAAGTTTATAAGTTTACCCTAAACCCGAACCAACTTTTTGTTCTAAATTTTTTCCTTTAGATATGCACCAATTTGACTGCATCAACTTTTTTATCACAGAAAAAATAAAGACAGCATCAAATTTCTTCCAAAAAACAGAATAACACTATTGCAGATAGTGTTTGAAGATATAAAATGAATAGATAAATCAATCCATCCATGATCCAACAAATTAACCTTGTATTCTGTGATTTGGGTTAATCTTGTCGCAAGTCTTGATTCGTGTTAGTTTAAGCCATAAAATGCAAAAATAAAGAAAATATAAAAATCCTATGTTCCATAACCTAAACTCCCAAAGCAACTCAACCAAGGTCATATAGGGCCTTTCTTATAATAATCACAAAGCACATTCTTTCACTAGCGCTTCTTACATAACTTTGCTTTCCAACAAGATTTTAACTTGTGCAGCACATCACATAATTGCAAACTGCATCGCCGCAACCATCTCAACCACAATTTAAAACCTTCATCTTGCTAGCAAGCCAAAAATAACGCATCTAGAACTACCACTAAACCACACAGCAGCTTCCCATCCTTCCCCACTCTCCCACTTGGGAAATAATTAGTGTCAGTTAGCTTCATATAGCTACAAGAGAGAAGAAAGACGATGCTTTCCACAAATTCCATCATCACAAATTTGATATTTTCAAACGAGTTGCATTCTTTTCCATGACACGACCATGTGAAAAAAGCTCACACAATCCTATTAGTATTATTTACACACACACAAGTCAACATTTCATGATATTACATAATATAAGCATATCGGAGTAGTTTAAGAGAAAACCTATATACATTTTCATAAATATGTCGGTATTAATCTCTGATCAGAATTGAAATTTTACGTCAATAATATGTATAGATATTTAAATATTATTTTTATTACCCATACTATCGAGGGTGAAACTCGAGAATAACACCGACAACACTTATGATAATGCATGCAAGTTTTATGTTGATTTTGATCTTTGAACATATAGACAGAGCTGTAGGCAAGCAATCACAATTCACAACTCACAAGTAGCGAAGCATTCTGATATCCATCCTCCTTCAATCAATACGTGGCAACACCAACTGACTTACATCCCAATTCAGGAGCATCAATGTCCACCCACACTTCATTTTTGCGTTTGACAATTCGGAAGGGAGTATTGTACTGCGCAATGGAGTAGCCAGGGCGAGTCTGGGAGTGAGCCCAGGGAGAGCTACTTAGAGTGGTGGCGAGCTTTTGGGCCTCTTTGACAACCCTCTCATCCTTGGCGAATCCAGAGAACATTCTGACGGCGACGCAGTGGCTGCTGAACTCATAGGGTTTGATGTTGAGTTGGGGGAGCGGCAGCGGTGGAGTGGCCTGGAACTTAACGGGTAAGTAGAGACTAACGTAATAGCCTTGGGATTGAAGGGGACCGGCGGCGGGGACGGTGGTGGTGAGGACGGGAAGGGTCATTGGGATTCGGGAGAAATTGAGGTTGGCGCCTTCGGTGAACTGGAACAACCTGGTGGAGCGAATTGGAAAGTGAGAAAGAGAGAGAGAGAGTGGTGTTGGATTTGAATCGAATTGAATTGAATTGAAACTGAATACCTGTGGAAGCCGTTCCAGGTGGCTTTCTCGAAGGAAATGTCGAGAGCGGGAGCGGACATCCACACGGAGCTTCGGTAGAGCCTCACCTCGAAATCGGATTCGGAGTGTACGATTGTGTACTGTGGGGACTCGATCTCGACCGCAGCGCAAATCATAACTAAACACATCACGTTGACTGCCACCGTCAACGCCTCGCTCTTCTTCATTCTGCTTCCTTTCCTTTCCTCACCGATCGCTTCCTATACCACTTATGCCCCTGCGTGCCTTGCTTACTCTCTGTCCTTTATTAAGGCTTACGACGTCGTCGTTTTGAGGCAGAATTATTCTTCTTCTTTTTTTTTTTTAATATATTTATAACTTAAAATATTCAAAGTGAGTTAGTTTGGGAACCAAGTAAATTATAGAATACCGTTAAAAGCAGATCAATATGGTTTCGTGTGGTAGAGCTGCCATAATTCATAACACCCACAGACCACAACTAAGAGAAACCGAAGAAAACTTCATGTCGATGTCCAATGCTGTTTCTCTCAGAATTCACGTTATCTCTATTTTGAATTCCCTTTCTCTAAAGCCTGGTATTTCCATCACATTTGCACTCCTAATTTACAAACACATTTCATATTCATCGTACCTTTGCTTTGCTGTATTTACGACAAGCATGCAATAATGACAAACTTTGCATGTGACGTTGCATTAATCTCTTGTGACTTGTGAGATCATAACCATGGGTCGTTTCATTTGAAAATGTAGACAAGTGTAAACGTAAATATTTTGTTCGGTGCCTTGTTAAAAATTGATAACTGAGAAAATCAAAATCATCATGTTTAAAGTCTTTAAATTTCATATTAAGCTTTTAAAAAAAGTTGGAAGTGGAATATTTGTTGAGCTGAAAGCAAACGGTGGACACACTGTTTTCAATTTTCATTCTGTCCTAATAATCCCATTTTTTCCACTCAACTCAATCAGCCGTGGGATCTAATAATTATTTGGTTTGGTCAGAAAAATGTGAAGATGTCCAGGTTAATTAATGTGTGGGTAAGATTAGCTTTTGCTATTTTTCTTGAGACATTGTATTTGGTAATGATCTTTTTGGCTTGAATGGGTAAAATTCTGTCAAATAGGTGCAACGCTGGTGCAGAACTGTGCGGATAATGAAATTGGAAGAATTGTGATTCAGACTGCTAAAGAGCGGAAATATAAGACCATAAGCATAATTGATGACAAGCCAGGAACCCCTGAAATCATTGAACAATTAAAAGCACTTGGTGGAGATATTGTTGTACCAGAAAGTTATACAAAGACCTGGTGAATTTTTTACAGAAATATTATTTTTTTTAAAAAAAATTACTTAATTAATCACTGTGCAGCTTTATTTACAGGGATAGAACCATTTACTGTTTAAGCTCAGAATTCGGTTCCCGGGGAACCGAATTCTGAGCACCAAAATGTATTTTTTTTTGTTTTTTCAACTCAGAATTCGGTTCCCGGGGAACCGAATTCTGAGTTGCTTTTATATATATATTTTTTTTTCGTGTTTGCAGGGGAGACGTGGGCTGACGTTGGAAGCGGAACGGCCCGTTCCGAAATCAGAACGGGTATCCTTAACAAGGTTAACATACAACACAATCACAACTTAACAACACAACAATATATATACAACTCGTATCAACAATAAATCAACTCATCAATAGCTTATGCGTCATCACGCATTTCAACTCAGAGATCTCCTACAACGTGGTGAGTAGTCTAAGTGGCTAGGTCCTACCGAACTGACAACACAGAACCTTTTTGGGTTTGCTAGGTAAACAAAAAATTTGGATAGAAATCCACAACACGATAACGATTTCTCAGATTTTGCCACTTAAACAAGGAAGTATAGTATTATGTCAGGATAGAACAACTGGGTTTAGGCCTACCATGACATTAGCTAGCTCAACTAAGCCACCTATGGGATTAGCCTACCGACTATCCTCCAAATACTACAACCCTCCGATACTCGGTTAGGAACTAAGTTCCCGACTTCGTACTTTACTCAAATTGGCCGCTTGTAATCGGTATAGCTCAACCTGACCCCTATACCATGGTCGCTTTGTACACGTGTGTCTCGACCTTGCCCACGCACGGGATCAACTAAGTCTTAGAGGAGAACAACACAACGACCACTCCAAGGGATAACTTCCCAATGAGGATTTTTCAACAAATTGGGCTCTCAGAGCACCACAACTATCTCAATCCACACAATGGGATGAGCAACTTCGAAAACATCTCCCTTAGTCCTAGTGATCAACAACTTATCATCACAGCTTAATCAGCTTACAACTCAACAACACAACTCAGCTCAACAACTTAAACAACACACAACTTTACAACTCATCATCTCAATCAACTTTCAACTTAAACAACATGGTATATCAGCATAACAACTCATCAAAACTGTTTAACAACACAACATCTCATTTCAACTTTAAACAACACAATTATCATCTCATCAGCTCAACTATTAGCTCTTGTCAACTTTAGTCAACTCAACATCTCAATAGTTAAATTCACAATTTATAACTCAACCATCACAAATTAGTATCTTTTCAACAGATAGTACAACATACAACTCTCATCTAACAACTTAGCAACATGGTCTACTAATAAATTTTGTATAAATCTCAACACGTCTACACATTTCACATCATGCTTCTCACAACTCACAACATTATCATTTCATCATATTTCACAACATATAAATAATCCACACGTAAATATAGCAACTTTAGCAACATACCATGTATTCAACGCATTTTCTATTTGGCACAACTACTTATTTAGTTTACAACACTATACTCAACATGCATATCTTCATTTCACTTTCTACTCATCATACATCTCAATACAACTCCATATGAGTTTTTAAACTCACATATAACCAAACAACATATAATCTAGCTTCCCTTACTTGAAAATTGGTTCAAAATAGTCAATAAATGAGAAGACGAGGTTATCACTCTCATGACCAGACGTAAAAGGTAGTCAAGATCATACGAAGTATCATATATCCAAACGCAGTTGGAAAATAATGAAGCACGTCTGAAGTCCACTAATCACATTGAGTGAAATCATACAAGAAACACAAAAAGACATCAAACCAGAATACAGAAAAGAAGAAAATCAGGCAAGCGTGGAGTTACAAGTCAAAGCTGCATACGTCATAAAAAGAACACCTACTTTTCAGAGAAAGACAATACCGTAGCAGCTAAACTGATGAGACAAGTACAAATATGCCTAGATTATGATTGAAGTCAGACATTGGAGTAATTAATTACATAAAAGGACTTCACGTATAACAACAAACATTTAATGCAAGATCAAATGCAATAAATGAAAAGATTTACATTATCGTGAACAAGCCTCCATCTGCAACGACATAAAGCTTCGCTCCAACGGAAAAATTTTAATCCGAACAACGGGCAGATTCACCAAAATAGCTATAAGTATCAAGGCAAAAAAAATAGAAGAGCAGAGAAAACGTGCAATAAGAGAAAGAAAGCGAAAGAGTATAAACTGCATTTCTTCTCAAAGCATTTCATGTATATATGTGTAAAAACTAAGATAGCCCATCTTAGTAAGTGTTGTTAATATCCTATCCTCGTTACAAGAGTAAATACAACACTTAGACACTTATTCCTGTAAAACTAAGGTTACGCACCTTAGTGAGTGTAGAAATTACGTTATCCTCTCTATGAGAGCTGCAAACACACTCAACACTCTCATTGCTGTAAAGCCTGAAGAGGCTGATAGGAAGAATACTTGTGAACCATAAGTGGTTGAGAATACTAGCGCTAGTAAGTGAAGCTAGCGGGTTAGAAGTGGTCAAGAATACTTAGAGAACCAAAAGTGGTGAAGAATACTAGCGTCAATAAGTGAGGTTGATGAGCCAGAAGTGGTTGAGAATACTTGTAATCCTCAGTGATTAGTGGAACCCTTTGGTTGAAAGAGACTAGACGTAGCTCAGATTGAGTGAACCAGTATAAACATTTGTGCATATTCTTTATTTTTCAAACACTACTTCGTTTTTCATCCACTTTCTTTTCAACAAACTGCTGATTAATTAAGTAATTTTTTAAAAAAAAAATAATATTTCTGTAAAAAATTCAAGACCTGGTATGTTATTTTCTTGTGGCCGCGGGTTACAATCGTGCACTTGTTTCTTATGATAAATTTTTAGTTTATTACTTGGAAATTTATGTAACTTGTCTGATTTGAGAAAACATCTCCATTTATTCTTTATGTTTTTACTACTAATTTCAAACTTGTTTTGGTGTGTTGATTTCCGTATTTAGTTCATAGCATATGTATGTTAAAGCATTGAAATAACTCCAGCAATTCTAGCTGCTGCTAGGAATTTTATCAACTTGTCATGTGGTGCAAATTGACTTTTCAAGCGAGATACAAAGTGTTATTTAGCTATATGTACTATTGTCACGGATTTAAAATTTTGGTTTTTAACCTTTGTTTTTACACTGGTTTCTGCAACTAGGTATATGCAGCGTCTAGTTGGAGAGTTGAATCCTTCAGCAGGTTTGAATTTTGATGATGGATACCAAGCAACAGCTGTAGTGAAAGCTCTGGCTAGTGGTGGAACATTCCTCACGTACGGCAAGAAGTTACCTCAACATGTTGTCTTTGAAGAAACAGATAGTAAACCTGTTGAGTGGACTGCTTTCCTTAAAGAAAAGAACCTCAAACTGAAAGCATTAGGCGTGTAGTGAAAGCACTTCAAGATTGTTTTCCTACGAAGCAATGGAGATAGTCAAGATTTTCTCCTTTTACTTTTGTTCCCATTATTATCAAGAATTGAGTTCCTTTCTGTTTGTACCTTTCCCTAAAAGGTATAGTTCTTGGCAATAATTAATGAACTCATTTTCGTGAAATTGAAGTAAATTGGTGTATTAATCCTTGATATTGTACGCATCGGCACTTTAAAATATGTTGAACGTGAATGCATCTTGAAACAAGGATTCATGTTGAACATGGCTTGGAAAGTAAAAGCGAAGTAATATTAGACCTCAAACAATTTAATACATGAGATTAGTAATATCCTTTGCTGTTTTTCTCTTTTATTTTGCTTATTCCTTTGTCTTTTGTGCTGGTCTCTCCTGCCCATGCCCATCAATCGTTGAAAATCAATACAAATGATGCGTACCTTTCTTTCCTTCTCTTTAGCTTCCACAAATAATTAAAAAATATAATTATTTCAGAAATCAAGTTTTTCTTGGGAGTTACCATTTCCTGAATTCCAACATGACTATAAACTACAACGCTATATCATGTGGAACATATTCAGCATTGTCATAAATCAAATTCAAATCAGTGTCAAATGTCAACTTTATAGCAAATATGTTTTCATGAAGTAACGAACATTGTTGTATACCCTAATCGACTTACATAACATTAGCTCAAAAGTGGGAAAGAAAAAAAATGAATACAATGTTTTTTTGGTAGATAATGAATACAATGTTTAGTTTGTAAGATAAGAGATAAAATAAAAATTTATTATTACACCCTTATAACAAATAAATAAACAAAACCATTAAACTAAAATGTTCAAAATTAAGGATAATTTAATCGGTACATTTTAAAAGCTTAATTTCTCTCCAAATCTTTCCATTATTAGAAGGCAGAAAAAAATGGAGAGATTTGGTCCCTCCCTTCCCCTCCAAATATTTGACCCAAATAAGATATATATCACCCTCATTTATTTTATTCTTTTATTAAGGGCTAAGTCCTATATTTAGAAGTACTGGAATGGCTAGAAAACGACTATGTGTGTTTAGTTTACCATCCGAAACCCACAAAATCACATTCAACGGAAAAGATAAAAAATGTTACTTCTCAGTTTATGTTACTTCTCAGTTTGGTGCTTTAGAATGTGTATTTACTCCGTTTAACGAAATCCAACGATAAACCAAACATGCTTTATATTATGTATTTAAAACACAAGTTTGCACTGCTTGAACAATAGATACAGGTAAGAGTATAAGATGAAATGCCAAAACGGAAGCAATAATCTGCAAATGAATTCTTGCACCTCGGATGGCAAACTCAAACCTGTCTTCTCTGTAAATGAACTTGTCTCTTCAGTATTGCATCTATATGGTATTATTCTCAACAGGAGATTAGCACTATGTCAACCCTCTAACACAATTCTCCAATCTCTTGCATAGTTTCTCTCATTTTCCTATATATCATGAATAAGAAGAAACTAGGGAATGGGGTGCATATGTCAGCATTGTTCTAAAATTCCTCTCGAGCACTTTTAAGTAAGAAGCTATTTTTTTTTTCCCAACTAATTACATGTTGTGTTGCCGTTGTGAGATCCACAAATTGGTCTTTGAAAGTCCAAGACAAATGCTAAATATTTATGAGTGTATTTGTAAAGTTTGCTGCAAATTCTCATATTTTCTAACTTTCAATCTCTGAAGCATGGTGGCAATGTTTCGTTTGTAAAATATTCCTTCCTAACAGTCTCTGCAGAGCAAAACCTCACCTGTAAAATAAAAAGAGGGGGCAGGAAAAAGAATTAGAAGAAAATGAAGATGAGGCAGCACCAAGACTTACTATCTAATGCCAAATAGTGCTGAAATTAATCGTTGTGGCTTTGTTCCACTTAAACCCTAAACTTAAAATATAAGCCAACAATCATACGTCCAAATATCACATAAGCCAATGTAAAACATTCTGGCAATTGGCTTGATCAAAACGTAAAGTCAGTTACATGATGTTAAGACTTGAACCCTTAACATCAAATTCAGAAGGTGAAATTGCATGGTCAGATACCATGACAGGCTACCATTCAGCAAGCAATCGCCTCCTATATCTGGGATGTTAGCTTCAATCAAGTCTTTACTTCAATATAAATTATTAGTAACTTAACCAAACGAAGATCTTAACAATCTCTAATATCTTGAGCCCTTGTGAGAGAGAAATATAGAAGCAGTGAGAAATTGTGTGCAATTCAAGTAAGAAGTGTAAGAAATAAAATGGCCAACCAGGCATATGTAAACTAACCTTCATATTGTGACAAAAATTGAGAATACAAAAAAGTGCAGAAGGCAAAAACAAGAATACACACATTTTACATATTTCAGCCAATGTGACTTACATCCTTGGGTAGTCAGAGATTTTCTATTTCTTTCTCATAGAAAAAATACAAAGAGTCTCAATCCTATTTCAATGAACAACACCCCTGTTTTTATCCTAACCTGCAACCCAGTAAACTAGTTCACATACACAAAAATGGGCCAGGTCCACCACAAAACCCTACCAGCCCAAGTTCTCTGCTTGCATGGTTCCACGACAGAACTCTCTTTCCCCCTCTCAAATTTTGAGCTTCAACATATTGGGTCAGGTTATAATTTGGGGTGACCCATTAACAAAATTCAAGGCATCTCAACACTCCATTATAAAGGCAAAAATAACTCTTTTGTTCTTACAGTAATAAAAGCAAATTTAAAACGAGCAAAACTTACCAGAGAAGCATATGATTTTAACAAGGGCTTGACTAGCTGCCAAATTGGCTTAAACACAAAAGGTGCATCCACAAATAGTACTTCAGACAATCGCTTGGGATAGTAACAATAGAATACATCAAACTGTCAAATATTAAAAAATATATATATATTAGTTTTTGTGATACTCTTTGTACAATTTATTTCTATTGAGGCACTATAGTTCATCACATCACATGATAACAATACAGACTTCATAACTAAATGATATTTGGCAGATGGTAAGAAATATTACCAAGAATGTCAAGAATTTAAGATCAGTATTTTTTGTACCAAAACCTCTGAGATCAACTATTCCAAGTATTTGTTCTTTCCCAGTTGGAAGCTTACTCAACGCCTTCTCAATTAAGAAAACACACAGCCTCTCATCATCTGCAGGGTCCTGTGCCTGTGACATAATTATTTATCCAAAATTGTTAAGACAGTTTTCCAAAGGTCATGAGGATCTAGTTAGTTACATTTAAGTAACATCCACAAACTAATATATGAAAATCCAGTATGCACTACAAAAAATGTAAGATAATTGACCAAGATTGACCTCAGTTGTGCTAACTGACATCATGTTGCACATAATTGCTACCAGAAATTCATATGCAAAATTAGGCAATCACATTAATTCCCCAAATTTAATATCTATGATATGGAGCAGAAGTGCCAATTGCAAGTAATGAATTGCTAGAAGAAACAATAGACAAGTTGGAACAAAGGGAAAGCAGAAAGAGGAGAAGTTTGATAGGCAAGTGGTTAAGACTTAAGAGTGTGTTTGTTTCAACTCATTTCGCACTTTCCTTTGCACTTCCAACTCCAATCCATGTATTTTTGGTGTGTTTGGATGTCAATTGACCCATGTTCTAATGAATGCAAACAGAAAAAGTTTGTCACTAGGTGGATTGAAGTGATTTTAGTGTGTGCAATCGTAAAGCCTAACATGCTAATGATCATGGATGTAAGTATTCAAACACTAAATCAGAGTACCAAGGTGAAACTCTTAATTATACAAAGTTAACCTCAACAAAATTGAAAAAACATGTCTTTTGCTGTTAAACAAATTATAGCTGCATGCAAGTAACCATACTCGTTTACTCTGATCAATTTCATTTCAGAGAACATGAAAATACTGAGAGTAACAATACAAGTTAAAATATTAATTATTACAACTTGTACTCTTACATCTGGAAAATGCTTTGATGCAACCACCATAAGCACAGGTCTGCTATTGACATCTAGAAAGTCATGTACATATGCTTTTCCAGTTTGAGCAACATCTCTAACGGCTTCTTCAGTCAATTTAGACACCCCAAAATCTTGACGCCATTTCTTATAGAGTAGAAGGAAAAGTAACAAATTGAGTAGGTGGAAAATTTTGAATGAGAATTAATTTATTAACACAAACATGATTGATTACAATCTGCATGTTCCAGATAGATTGTTGAATTGGGGTGAATTATGGTGGGTGTTGACCGTGGATTCCATATTAATTTGAACGTATCTTTTGCTCTTGCTCGTACTAACCCATCAACGGTGTCTCAACCTGGCTGTAGTACCACCCGAAATCAAAAGACCTTGAACCTAGGTTCTTAGAGCACACCATGGCCAACACCCACCAGAGCTCAGCCCAAGTCAACGGTCCACTTCAATCACGTCATCTAGGTCCACCTCGAGCAGATTAAATTACATAAGTAGTAGAAAATGAAATTTTCCAAAGAAGCAGAGGTTGTGATTTGGGAATAAAATCTCATAATGATATAAATTATAATAATGAGAAGAAGGATACAATGGCTTTAGTCAACTTGGAAATAGCATCTTCAACAGAAAACTTGCGATCTTTGAGAAACCACAGTATCATATCTTCGTCATCCCTTCCATTTGGGCCAACAGGGAGGTTATGGTGTTCATTTTCAAGCTTTTCCTTCACTGCAAGAACTAACTGCAATTTTATTTTATTATTTTCAAATTAAGAGAGTAATCAACAAGGTAAAAGGTATTGAATTTAATTAAATAAAAATTAAGCATTTGAATTTAACAGAGGAATTAGCTGTGATTGTGGAATTTAAAAGAGAAAAGAAAAGTGCTGAATGTTTTTGGTTGGAAAACGGTGAAAGAGTTAGTTACCTTGCGGGAGTGGAGTTGCGGTTGGGAGTGAAGGTTACAGCATCGAACGGACATATTGGAGCGAACGGGAAGGTTTGAAGGCGGAAGAGGAAGAGCGATGGTTGGGTACGCAGCGCGCATTAGCGCCATTGTGTGTTCCTGCAATTGCAACTCTATCTGTTCTGTTACTTCGCTCCTTCCTACCGCATTAACGGTGGCTGGACCCCTCCCTCTATTTCGTATTTAACATAAATGAGCTTTTAGTTCATGTAATAATTTTCTTCAATTTTTATTTATAAAATCGTTATAAATTTCATGTCGTTAAGATTATCATATTATATTCTTACCATAATTTTGATCTTTAAATTTTAAAAAATTATGTGAATTTTTATATTTTAAATTTAGAAAAGAATATATTTGCATGTTTTTAAACTTTTAAAGATTAAATTTAACAATATGGAAATATATAGACTTGATTATATTTAACTGAAAATATACAGACTAAATTTTTATTTTAAATTAGAGCTAGAAAATGTACAAAATTACATATGATGTACATTTTTACTTGAATATTTAATAGAATATAAATATAATAATATATTATACAAAATAATACCGTCTAATACATAAATCGTAAAGTTGTTTTAATCTTATCAATGAAGAGCAGCTGCCATTGTAGTATTTCTTAAATGTCTCGCTAAAAATATATGCGTGGTCTAGATAATAAAATATATAGAATATTATTTAATAAATTAAAATTTTATTAATATATAATTTTAAGAAAAATGATTTTAAAAAAAATAAGACATTGAATTCTAAATCAAATAAACCCATAATTAAAAATATATAAACTAAATGTAAATATTAAAGTGCACGTTAATTATTTACATACATCCCGATACAAGTCCTTTCCTTAGTTCTATGAAGGATAATCAACTTATTGAGAAACAATCATCGAATGAACACAGCTGTCCATTATATTATAAAAATTTGTGCTGATGTACATTCTTATTGAATATCATTGGATTGAGTCTACTCAACAAATAGAGCAAATCAAATCGATTAGATTGGTTTTTATTTTCAGCTGGGGCCTGAAGTACATCAATGCTATTCCGGTTAGCCCGAAATGCACAGAACAGAACAGAACCAATGACGAGTCAAAGACACCTTGCTGTTGATCGTATTCCAGACAAGGAAGCATCTGAGAGGACAAAAAGCTTTTTGTTTTGCTGACAGCTATTCATACCATGGTAGTTTAACAGACAGCGGAGCATAAACAAAAGAAGTCATATTTTGCATTTAAAAGAGCTTGAGAAGAGGGCTATTCAGTTTCGATCCAGGTGTGCAAATATAATAGTCCATATTCCATGTCAGAATCCTCTGGCTACCATAAGAGCCAAGGACCCAGTTATTGAGAAGCATGTTAAGGTGAAAACTTTGAGAGCAAAATTGGAGGAAGAGAAGACCAAACATGAAATGTCAGCAGTGTAACATGGCAATGGCACTGAATAACCTGCAACTGGGTTGCGTGCATGTTCAAGGGATGGTGGGGTTTTCAAGTGTGCATGGTGGTTTTTAACTCTGTATACAACAATGCCAAAGTTACTGAACAGGAGCATGACGTTAAGAGAGTATTACCGAAGGAAAATTGACCTGCCACAGTATAGATGATCACCCTTGCCCATATTTATGGATCATATTTACACCAGTTATATCATAAATCATGTCCTGCATACCACAGTGGAGGCAGAAGCTGCAAACTAGCAAACCCATTTGTAACTAATAGTAATATGAATCTATGTAAGGTTTAGGGTTTAGGCTGGTTTCTGTTAATCTAGTGTAAATATTTAACTCCAACCGTTTTTTAAGAAACCAACCCAACAAAAGCCAAATCAGAATTAGACCATAACGTATGCATGGAATCTTTAGTGTGGAGATATATAAAGTGAAACTAGTTTATCATGTGAAAAAAAGAATCGCACCAGTAGGGCGATCAAGTAGAGGATCAATTCTCAAGGAAATGATCTAGTTTTGCGGTACCCAATCTCAATGAAGTTTAAAATATGCTACAAGAAGAACAGGCTCCAGGAGAGTCGGGATTTCTCCATGATAATTTTTTCTGAATGTTTTAAAAGAGAAACATCAGAATGTGTTTTTCTACACTTGAATCAGTGCAGTTATATGTCTCTCTTAATGGCTTAGTTTGTGAAAACTTATTCTTAGTGAAATTCTATGTATTTGATAGGATGGGAAGAAATAAATCATAAAAGGTCCAATTTTAAGTAGCCATGGGCGCGCCAAACTTGACCTCGATGGTCTAACATATCACCTCGTAAAATCAGGATTCAGGGGTTTAGTTCAATTCTCCATGAGGCATTACACTCCTTTCCCCGTCTCCCTCCCCCTGATTAAAAATAACAAACAAGTGTGACATGGGGAATTTCACTAACTAGGGAAATTGAAATCAATTGCAACAACTAACAAGCAATCAAGTATAGAGTTATAAAAAAAAGTAATACAAAAATAAAGCAAGCAAGCATTACAATAAAAGAAAATCATTAATTATTAATAACATGCTCTTTTCAACACATGTTGTTAATGGATAAAATTCATGTAAGTTCTACTAACTTGAGAATGTGACCTACCAAATAAGGCGTGGAACCTACATCCTTAGTAATGAGACCCTTGTGAAAAGAGTGTGCTACTAGCATTCCTTTCACAGAAAACGGTCATCTGTTTATAGTTATATCTTAGAATTTGTAATTCAAATTTAATTCAACTTCACAAAACTACTTTATAAGAAGAGAATTGTTTAAGTTTTATAATATCTATTTAAGCCACATCTTCAATGGATGTGAGACTAAACCACCAATCTTGAGGCTGCAATTAAGGTAACCCAAGGGTGACCGCAATTAAGACAGCTTTTCAATACTCCCCCTCACGCTCAAGGCTATCGGCCTAAAGAGTGCAAATGCAGGTGGGAAAATAATGGATCTAGGAAAGGTTTTGATACTATCTTAAAATTTGAGTTTTATTTAAGTCATATCTCTATTCAATACGAAACTAAACCACCACTCTCAAGGCTGCAATTAAGGCAACCCCCCAAAGAGGTCACCACCAAAGCAGGCTAGGGTTGACTGCAATTAAGTTGACTTTCCAACATTATAATTAAATTTCCTCATCAACTTATTACAAAGTGCAAGTTTCTTCAATTTTCTATCTTCCATATGAAAGTGCTTTAAACCTAACTCTAACTAGTCCAGAGAGAGTACAGGAGTCCGCAGCCAATGGAAAGTTATCCTTCACTATCCTAGTCCCTGGATCCACTAGCTGACCCATAAAAATCAAGAAAAAAAGGAAGATCAATGATCAAAGAAAATACCGGTTAAAGGGACTAAGAATGTTTATAGCAGTTAGACAACAATATTGGATCTTCCAAAAAGTTTTTGGAACATGCAAAACCCCTCTTTCTTATAGGTTTGGTGTTCAAACAATAACTTATAAAAGCAAGGTAAGCCATTAATACCAAATGTTAAGATTATACGAGCACTTAATCATTGACAAATATTCATATTATGGCACATATTTTCAACTTCTCAAGCCATATCCTTAATTTCAGAAACTTCCCAAATATAAATTGGATGACTTTTAGTATGCAAATACTTTGCTTCAGATTATATCAATTGAAAATGCAACAGAATACATGACAATCCCCCAACTACTTTTCAATTAATATTGCATAATTGGCAATAAAACTTTTGGGGATAACAGTGAATTTCCTATTGGTGTGTGTTTTAAAAATTGAGTGAGCCAAGTAAATAAACATTGGTTTCTAAAACCTTTGATATCACAACGTTCTCCAAAATGAATCGATGCAAAGGAAAGATACAAAAACACTGTAATATTATTAGTTAGATCGACGTCTTACATGAGTATAGGATGGCAAAGATGAGACAGGAGCCAAAGCCCTCCTGCTTGGCATTGGTAGCTTAATTTGACTACAATAAACAATCAATAAAAGAAATAGAAGTACAGCAAAGAGAAAAGTTGGAGAAGACATGACCTTGACATTCCTTAAAGTTGAAATAATAACATGAGCTTTGTGGCTTGCACTATTTAACCACGGAAATTTCCCTTCAATTAATGCAGCTCCTAAGGTCCATGAAATGTCACCTGGACCAAATACCATTTCAACATCACCAAGACACAGACCATATTCAATCAATGATGCCATATAAGCCACCCGGAAACAAAATTGTCCAGCATAATTTGGATTGTCAGAAACACTGCTCAAGCCAGACCACAAATTTGAACATATTTGCTTGCCAGACTCCCAAACCATTGTTAAGTTGGCTCTTTGGCTCAAATTTAGCTTGTTGTAGACTAAAAAGAAGCCAGATAAAGCATGAAACTTGATTGGGTGTGCAACAGCTGTTAAATTAAGTATTCCAGTGCCTGCAAGGAGCATAATGAAACATAGTAAGTTCCTAGCAGCACCTAATAGAAACAAAACCTATATCAACACCTCCCTCTGCCATGTTCCTTTGGCTATCTGGGAGCAAGGATTGTGTAAAGTCAACAAGTACCATAAAGAAAAAAATCAACTATATGTCAATCTTAGTCATCAAAAGTAATATAGTTTCACATTATCAACATTTTTGGAGTGAAATTTTTTGTATGATAGTAGATGGGACGGGATGGAGTTTCCTTATTGTTTGATGTATTTTTTATCTTGATGATTTTACAAGTGAGAGATTTGGAGAACCAGTGAGAGGTTGAGAAGATGAAAGTAACTACATATGGCCAAACTGCACATTTTTCACTCAAGTCAGTGATAACTTCTTCAAAATATTCCTTGCTTAAATTACTATAATTTTCAATCAACATATATATTCTACAGACTTCAAGAAGACTAACAAAACATTATTAAAAAGAAAGTAAGGAATGAATAAATAAAGTAAGATAAAAACCTATAATGCAAACAAATGACGATACCCTTACCAATACCAGAAAATGAACTAGCTTGGCAATTTTTGCTAACTGTCAGATGTGACACTTCCGAATCGCTCATGTTCATAGCAGCAGCAATAGCTAGTTTTTTGCACTGCTCCCAATCAGGTTCTCCAGTAAGACGTAAAGAATAAAGTTCACTTTCCTGGGGTTCGCTGTGATTTTTCTGATAAATAGAAGTCAATCCAGAGCAAGAATGGCATGTATAGTTTTGTAAAAAATTTGATACCAAACAAGGATGTCTAAGCTCAGAGATATCTGCAGCTCTTTCCC